GGGCGCACCCCATTATTTGAGAAGCACTACTATATTGATACACATGCATTGTTTACCTGCCATTGTGTTGTCTCTGCAGAGTGTTTTCCTTTAACTGAAGACAAAAAAAAAGACAAAAAAAAAAGTTCTGTTGACACATTTTTTGAGGTGTACATGCTTTATATAGACATTATGTTGTGCGGGGAAAAAAAGTGTTTTAGTCRTTTAACAGAAAAACGCCATTTTGTAAATCCTTTATTTTAAAGTAAATAAATTTGTTTCAGTTGAATATTGTACTGTAAAATGAATGCAACATTGATTATGTGTTGTTTTTCTTTGTCATAAGCGCCACATTTCTATAGTTTCCTGCTTTCAGGCTTCTCTTTGCATTTTCCTCCACAGTTACTGCCACACTCTGACTTTTTAAACATCTATCCTGAAGACACCTGCATAGAATGGATGTGTGTTTTATTGTAAATTAAGTGTCAAGCCTCTGCTGTTACTCTTGCCAGAAAAATCTACCAGAGAACAAATAAAAACCTGAGCCTTAGTATACTCAAAATCCGGCTCAGCACTTCTAATGGAGTTCCTGCTTTTCTCTTTTGGCATTAAAGGGATTTTTAATTAAATATTCATCMATTAGAGGCTAGTCAAAAACTACTAAGACCTCTGACTTCAAGAGTAAGTAGAGACCATGGTTTCTCCTGTTCTTTCGAGCAGATTATTTACTGTTGCAGCACCTCCAGCTTTGAATCTAACATTTGGCACAGGACTGTTAATTAGGTACAAACAGCAGTGAATATGTCTAAAGAAGACAACGTGCACAAAGGGTCTTGTTTACTCCTTTTTTTCTTTTTTTTTATTAGCTGACTTCATGCCAGATTACAAAGAAAGAATGAGGAAGGTGGTTCGGCAGAAGCGTCAACAATTATCTTCGTGCAGCAGCTTGCTGGGAGAAGTCAAGTGTTGAAAAAGCTAAACCACAGTTTCATTTTATCTGTTTTCTTTAAGGCTTTCTCTTGTATTGTGCAGCTGCTGCCTATTGATTGGTGTGGAGACAGCTTGCTGCGTTTCTTTACACATTTATTTGTTGGACATTTAGCATGCGGTATATTTTTACAGCTAGTTGAAAAGTTTGAAGGAAATTTGCTTTTGCATTTTGACAATCAGGCCGCTTCCTGGCTTGTTTTTCCTCACCAGTCGTCTCAGGGCAAGATTAAATCGAGAAAATTAGCTGATAGGAATGCATATTGTTAAAAGAAATGTTGCTTCATAGTTTACAATATAATGCAATTTTGCAGAAGAGTTGCATAAACTAGTTTTATCTCTGACAGCACTTCAGCTATGGCGGTGCTGTGTGTCAGGTGTCCAGTTTTATGTCGGCACACGTTTACCCCGTGGCCTGGGCTAAATGTCACATGAAGACTGGTATCCGAGTCAGCAGAGAGCCTCTTTGGGAATCCCATCCTGGCCTATTATGGTGCCATCCCCTGRGTCCACTGCCTCTTTGGCATTTTAGACCCATCCAACAGGTGCTGTTCTCTTTAAAATGCATGAATAGATTACTATAACAAATGATGAAACAACTTCATTAGTTGCAAAAAATAATACARTGGTGGCTAACATGAAATATTATTGCTTTTGAACTAAAACTGAAATCCCAGACAGACCACCCCCCATGTCTTTTTGCAGTTTTTTTTTTTCCAATATGCTGCTAAAAAAAGACTGTGAGACTGCAGCTGTTACAGGATATTGTATCAACCACTGAAAAAGCCTGTGGAGACGAAGGCCCGGCTGTCTGCTCCTAAAACAACAGGAGAGAAAAAGTACAGAGTCTATGATCTCCTCCTACATTCTCCACATACAGGTTGGTTGAGATTTTCTGCAGTTCAAACATGTGTGCTGTCCCTTTAAGGAAGAGGAGAGACTCTTGTGACGTCACAGGACCTGGTGATAATTCCATGGTGTTTGTGAAAGGAAAGGAGCGTGAGAAAGCTTGTTGTTCGCTGCTCCTGTTGTGGATGTGCCCGGACTGGAAAGCGGTCTCTTCGATTTACAGGCTGTCCAAASCAGAATCAATAGCACTTAGACAGCTGTTAATGACCTTTATGGAAAGCTTAGAGTCAAGGCAGCGGTGATAAATAGCTCTACAGGCTTGGATAAAGATGACCTTTAATGGTTTCCGTGTTAGGAAAGATGCTGAATTGGTGGCAGACCATATTCAGCAACACATCACCACAAAAATATGTCATTCTTGTTGGAAATGTGTTTTTGTTTTTAAGTGTCACTGCAGAGTGTTTGGGAATGGCAAACAAGACCTACATGCTGTGCTCATCACCAAAACATGATTCTTTTTAAATGAACTCTTTTCAGCTGTGACTGCCTGCAAGAACAAGATGGATGTTTACAATGACAGTTATTCCCTAATTCCATCAAACCCAGTAAGCAGCCCCACCACCCCCCCGCCCACATCTCTGCCATCCCCCTCGTCATCACCAACCCAGTCCCAGACATTCCTGCCTGCTCTTCCTCTGTACTGACCTCTCTTGTCCACTCTGTGGCTTCAGATCCCTGCAAAGGGGGGCTGCTGTCCCTGGATCCCCGTGAGTCTGCACAGTTCCTGCTGCACGGCAGCCCTCCCTTTGCCAGCTCGTGCCTTTTTATAGCTCGCTGAGCCTGCTCAGCCTGCGCTGCATTCTGGGTAGGAGGGAGCAAGTACAGGCGAGGAGAAGAGAGGGGGTGGGGGTTTAGAGGGAGTGGGAGAGTTGGGAAAACTGAGGCGCATGAGCATTTTGTGAATTAATTCATGTGTTTCCATTTTAATGTTTGGATATGAAAAGCAGGTTTTGTTCCAGGAACAAGCCGAGCAGTGCATGTTTATGAGGAAGTGGTTCAAAGTGAGGAAACACAACTAATTTAAATGTGGCAGATATGTTGCTGAAAGAATACYGTAAACTGAAACTGGAGGATGTGTTTCTGACAAATGTGAACCATATAGTCTATATCAGTATTTCCCAAAGTGGGGTCCTGAATCATCAAGGTGGGGTCCTGACAAGATTTTCTGAATTACATTTTTGCCTTAGTTGTTACAAAGGAGTGAGGTTAGTGTATTAAAAATGTGTAAATGTAGTATAAAAATATTGTTACCATGCCCATGTTTAGTTGACCTGATACAAATGTTTATCATCCAAAAATAGCTGAGGGCTCAGGTAGGGTTGGGCATAATCGTGTCGTGTGCAATTAATCGCCAGAAAAACATTAATCGATTATTTTTTGGCACTTGACGATTAATATGATTAATGCCAGCAGGCAGGCTGACTGGAGATTTCTCCAATCAGTCTGCTCGATGCTCCGCTCCGCTTCAAATATGACGAACATTTTAAAAAAAGTTCTGCAATGTAATTTTGACACGGTTTGGAACMGATTTTTACAAAAAACAAAACTTTTCCACTAAATTGGTCACTTGACGAGGACATAAGGGTGTCCAGGGGATTCATCGTCAAATTAATCGTTATTGGCTATACACCAGAATTAATCGTGATTGTTTTTTTGTTTTTTTTACTAATATTGCCCAGCCCTAGGCTCAGGTCTCTGCTACTGTTATTTTGTGGGTCAAAAGCTGAAAAGTTTGGGAACCAGAGCACTTTGGTTCTCAAAGTTGGGCTTGGGACCCAATTATGGGTCATGAAGCACCTTGGATAATCTCCAGAAATCAATTTAAAGGGTAATAAAATTTTTGCTGACGTAATATTTTTTCGTATAACTATTACAAAAACACAAAATAAGTATAAATAAGTATTTATATTTGTGTACAAGCTGTTTAGATTGTCAAAAAGCCTGTGTTTTTAGGGTTATTAACAAAGTTTGTGTACTCAGACCAGTAATATTTGGGGTCAAGTTTTTGCCATGAATATTTTGTGGGTCAGAAGACAAAAAGTTTGGGAACCACTAGTCTGTATGTTTGTCCAGCTGCTATGTGAAAAATAAACATGTTTAATCTTTATTACACAACAGTTGCTGGAGTTGGCCAACAAGTCTGGGTTATTATTGTGCTTTATTCCACCCAAGATTACTGCTTGAGCAAGCAAGTCCAACTCAATGGTCTGTGTAGAAGTCAAATAATAAAAATATATTTCAGTTCAACAAATATGTGGGTATTTATGTGCCAAGACCTTCTTCATTTTTTTCTTATGCGTACAAAAACGGAAGTGGTTTATGTGAAAACTTTGACCAAATAACCATTATTCAAATCAACATCAGAAACGTTTTATTAAAAGCATGAGGCGACATATTCATGTCCTCAAAAGGAACATAAATACAAAATATATTTATATGTACAAATTATGGCAAAGGCAATCTGAAGCATTCCAGATACTTTCTATGAGTGTGAAATTGCCCCAAAAGAAAAAAAAACATACAGAAAAGGAATATATTAACTGCAGCTCCCAATGTGTTGGTTACAAAAAGAGATGAATAAAGTATTACAACATGATCGAGCCTGGCTCATCATTTAACGCKTCTATGCTTTGATAAACAAAGAGGTATGCACTACTTCTGAAAAAAACTCAAGCCTCAAGAGAAAGTAAAAAAAAAGTTAAGTACCATTAAAGAGATGCTGTGGCGAACATCCTTTTCAGATTTGCCTATCTGGAGTTTGAACTCTGTCTTAAACAAACTGTAGAGCACACATTGCTTTAAAAAAAAGATGTACTTTACATTTTGCAAAAAAGATTTCCATATTTATGGTGCAGATTAACAAAACTGAATGGTCAAAGTTGGATTGCCTTTTAGTCCCAACAGACTGTAATTCACAGATGTAATAAAAGGTTTTGACCACAAAGAGGCAGTCTATACTAACACCACAATGTGGAGATTTAGCATTACTAAAATTTGACACTTATTTCACTGTTTTAATGCTGAGATGACTGATAATATTTGTTGTAAACCGTAGTTAGCTGACAAACTTTTGGCATATTAAGGGCAGCTGATAAAAACCCTAAATAAACATTAAGAAACATTAAAAAAAAACTTTAAATCCAGCTTCATTTAGCATGTTTCTGTTTTTTAGGTAAGAAGGTTGTATAATTTGCTCAGTAATCTTGGTTACTGCATATTTTGTAAAGAAAACTCTCGCAATTGCATACAAGTAAAAATATGGTTTTGTCAATAATTTAATTTAAACACTTTACTTTGTCAAAGTTGGAAAAAAWTCTTGTCAATTTGATAAATAAAAATAAAGTGACCAAAACATTTTAACACTCAAAAGCCAATACTAATACTGTTAGTGCAAAATTAACACTCTTTTTATTTGAACTGAAAAAAGCAGCATTATTTAATGAAATTTTGAAATAAATTTTACTAAAATTAACCTTATAATTCCTATTTCATTATTATTATTTTTAATAAAACGTCAGTGCACACTTGTCAGTGACAGTTTTTCTACATAAACCTTTATGATGTTCACAGTTCACACTGCGGGTCTCCACATTAGCTGTCCATATCCAACTGTAGGTCCATCCTGTTCTTCCAAGAAGAAAAAAAAAAACACATCTGACAGTAGAGAATACAATCTTGGGGTCTGAAAAATATTCAGATTAAGGCATTAGATTTAATATATACACTTTTTTCTGTTATTTCACCCCCAAACTAGTCTTTGTTGCCTCCCGTCAAGCCTYTATTTTGCATGTTTTATTATATTTGCACTTGATACATCAAGCAACACTAAATGGAGCACAACCTATTGCACATGGAATTTGACTTTTTAATAATCTATTTAGTTCATCTTCGGTGCCATCTTTAAATGTCAGCTCATCATTCTTTCATTTTTTTTTTATGTTCTTACTTTTTTTGACACGAAGTTGCATGGCGTCATTCACCAAACTCTTAGCTTGGAAAGCCACCGGGGGGCTCTTGGTCAGGGGATTGAGGGCTGGCCTGGTCGTCTGTGGGCAGCTGGACTCGCTGCTCGTCCATGCGCTTTGCCTGCACCCTCTGGATTAGGCTGAAGAAGTCTTCATCGGGCACTGTAGGGGCATGAGGACCTGCTTCTGGTGGGGAGCACCGCTGATCGTCAATCCTGGAGGACTGGAGTCAGGAAGAGGGACACAGTTAAATGGAGGTTGTTATATTAGAACATTTTGTTGACTGATCATAATTCTAGGCTTTAAAAAAGAGGGACACAATAGGAATGGCCTTACTATTTTACCTTACCTTTAGGTTTTTGAGTAGGGTCACTAGTGATGACATCGTTAAGGTAATGACTTTGGTTCAAACCGATTAGTAAAGAGTAATACTAAGAATAGTAAATGGTAAAGTCAGTTTAAGATTACAGGTAAAGTGAATGAACACCAAGAAGAGGTTGGTACGCTTATGCTGCGTTCCATTTACATCGTATTCCCGGTACTGGTAAATGGTAGTGACGTCATTTCCCAACAAACCATATGGAACTGCATTCTAGTTAGCTGACAGGTGATTGTATTGTTGCGGCTAACCTAGCTGCAACACTGCTACAATATAAACAATGACAAAAAGAGAGCTCTACTACGTATGACATGCAAATAAACATTGATTTTAATACATACAGTATTGTACAGAAAACACACTACTTGTGTGAGTGATTAAACACGCTCCAACAAATTAAGAAAGATAATTAACAGTGAAAGTTACGGAGTTAACTTTCTAAAGCTGTGAGTAGCCGCCATCTTGAAATCGAAACTGGGGGCAGTTTCATTTCTTCTACTATACGAGTGGAATATTACTACTGGAGGAGGTGTTCCAGTTTAAATCTACCAATGGGAACAGGGAAATTACCACTTCCCAGGACTACTGGAATGCAGCATCATGTTTATCCAAAACACTCACACCAACAATTAGCTTAGATGCTAATATTTGTTGTACTTGTTACAATGATAATAAAGATATATTATATTCTATTCAATGTATAATTTAAAACAAAACAGACAAGCTGACGTGATTAGCATTACGTTTATCACTGAAATCCCCACTCATAATGGTGTCCTCACCTGACATTTTATAAGCATGTTGAAGAAGTCGTCGCTGGGCTCTTGATGATCTCCCTCGCCAACAAGATGCCCCAAATTGTTCTGTGTAATCCGAAGGCCTGGAAGGTTTCCAACACTTACACGTTGATCATCAAGACGACGACTCTGAGAGCTAGCAATCAAATCAAAGAGCTCTTCAGTCTGAGGGGAAGTAGTAATTGCAGGATCTAAAAGAACAAGATAAAAAGAGAAAGTCTTTAATGAAAAGGAAGGAAGAGGTGTCCCCTGGTGATGAAACGTGAAGAAAAGCTTCTGATGTACATAAAACTGACATTAACCAACCTATCATCTCATTCAGGGTTGGCGTGTTTGCACTCCCCTCTCTGTTGTCCCCGTTCTGCGGCTCATCAAGATGGCAGCGCTGGTCGTCCATGCGGCTGCTCTGGAACTTGCTGAGGAGGTCAAAGAAGCAGTCCTCATCAGAGGGGTCACGGCCCAGCTTCTGAAACAGAAACAAATATCATCTTTTCCCTTCAGATGCTGTCAATTCTTCTTTTGTTACTGGAATTAAAACCTCCTTTTTACGGATTTAATGTTCTTTTGGAGAAAACAACTTCAAATGAATCTCCTCATACAATAGTTATTGTTCTTTCTAAAAGGCTAAACCTGGAAAACCTAATGAGGTTCAATGACTCCTTCATTTGAGAAGCCTGCTCTACAGGTGAACTAATTAACCTAAATGTACACATGAGCTGCATAATAAAGATGTGCAGTCATTATATTAACACACATGGGATGACCATCCTGAGAATACCTTAGCCTAGATACTGAAGGTACTACGTTTATCCTGAAAGAAACTTCTGGATCACTGATGAAACTAGTCTATATAGCTGGAACTGTGATTAGTTGGTTATTTTTATATTTGGCTTTGATTAAACATTCACTGACTGACTGAAGGCTATTTAAGTTGCTTTGACCTCTCTACTAATCAGTTTGACATTGTGCAGTTACCTCCTTTTGCAATGAAAAGAAAAAGAGGGTGTTGAGGCAAAAAATAAATCAAACTTGTAATTCAATTTACTAATCTTTAAGATCAAAGTTAAAATTTTTATTTTAAAAAATACATTTTCATCTACATTCTTAAACTAATTTTACTTTTAAATACTGTTAAATTGATTGTATAGCACTTTTGAAAAAAAAATGCAAGTTAATTAAGAATTATTGGTTTTTAGAGTCATGATTTATTTAATTTCATTATTGAATCTCTTAACTTTGAAACTTCCTTAAGAGAATAAATCACAGGAAATAAGTCAGTTTTAACTAATTTTGTGTTTTCTAATCATGTAACCTATTTTAGAAAATGGTTAGTAAATTACAAAAAAAGAAAAGAAATGAAGAAAACAATTATTAAAATAACTTCAAATTTTCAACAGGATTTGCAGTAATACTGAACTGTAACACCAGATGGAGTCTTACCAGTTTAATAGAACAAGGTTATGAATGTTTCAGCCAGTCAGGGTCACATAAACTGTAAAATAAACACCAATCCCTGCAGTCCAGTAGAGAGCAAATATTCAACTTGTGTCTCTTTACTGTCAAAGCTGAGCTGTTAAATTCTGCAGCTGAAAGCTTTGAAAATCCTCTGGTGGTTGTGGGGGTTCGGTAAGGTACTTAAAGAAAAAAACCTAACGTTGGGTCTGACAGCACATATAACTGCTATCAACCTGCAGGGCATAAATGACCTGCTCCCACTGACATTTAAACTAAAGATATGACTAAAAATCTGTGGTAACAAATTGATATAAGCCAATTTAATAGTAGTTGAGGTTGTTTGTGCTGACATTAATTTTGTCCAGTTGACCTGTTTTCAATGTTTGTACAAGCAACAAAAAATTGTATCCACTTTCTGTCACTGTTGTTTTGTTGGTCAGAAGCTGAAGTGTTTTGGTACTACTGTGTTACAAGTTCTATAAAGTCCACTGCATCTATTTTATTAAAAATATCAAGCTTTCAAAGACAAAAGGAAGCGAACTGAGCCACAGAAAGCTAAGTCAGCTGACTGTATGAATGAGGGTTTCTTTTTATACCTGTGACGTATCTAACAAATCGAATTAACACTTTTAAATATTTACTGGAGCATCAATTCCAGTGTACCACCAAGGCAAATTAATATATGGAAAACTTAAGTATAAAATGTTGCAAAAACTTACACAACTTTAGTTTGAGCTGGTTGAGAAGATCGACATCAGATTTAAACTAGTTATCGTTTGAGAAATTATTCAAAAAGAACATTTTGACACCTTCAAAGATGCCCAGAAAACTAAACAAAAATGTATGAGCAAACATTACGACTCACATAACTCGCTGTTATTTTTACACTACACACGAAACATGAACAGTAAATAAACACCCTTTTTGAAACCTTCACACATTTTGTTATTTAAGCTGAAAAGAAGAAGTTAAACTCTTACCAGGAGCTAAATTCTTTGTGTTTTATCTCTCATTCCTCCCTGAACACCACACGTCTGGATCACACGTCCTTCTGCTCTGCTTTCACCGCCACTCGTTTTCTCCCTCTCTTTACTTTTCTGCTGTACATCACCCACCGCTCTCTAATTTCCTCGCCTCTAGTGTCCCTCTCTTCCAGGCCTCTTTAAAGCTTACGTACTCGCTCTCTGTCCCTCTATCGCTCTCTCTTTTCTGCAGCTCTCCGGCAGGCCATCTCTGTCCTGTTCACCCACTGTGGGAAAACAACTCATTATGGGAAGCTGGGCGTTTGACCCTGTGGGGAGGGGACCAGTTCTGTGATCAAGGTCACATTATCAGCTGAGAGGCAGAGCTGTGCTCAGCTAAAGGGAGGAGGGGGGATTGAGCATAGAAAGATGGGTGCAGGGGGTTTAGTCATGACAACACTGCTTGGCAACAGCTAGCAAAGATCAACTAGCTTAAAACCATCTATTCTTCCACAGCAAAACGTCTAATCAGGTGTGACTAAGTCATTTTWGTTCTGTGTCCTTGGCTTCGCAGTCCTCTTGTGAATTTTGTCACTTCTAACTTTGTAATGTCCAATTAATCAAGTAGGCCAACGTGACAGAACAAGAAAGGAAAAAAATGACAAAAGGTAGTGATGAGGAGAGGGGAAAAGGGGGGAGAGACTAGAAAAGGAGGAAGCAAATACCCGCAGACATGAAAAATGAAGTCTCCTAATTCTCTTCAGTGTGTCCTACACTCATGTTCATAAGGTCTTCATCCCTCACCTGGTCCTTCAAAGTGGGGGATGAAGAGTTGTAAAATAGTTTTAAAACTTTATATTGACCCAAGGACTGCAAGATGGTTACAGACTTTATTCTGGAAATCATGAGTTTGTTCAGATGCTACTTTGAAAATCTAAGCCTTGCTCTCTGATTCCAAATAAGCCAAACTTGTTTAGGAAACGTTTCACTAAAGAAGGAACCCATCCAGAGGACCTACTTATTTTTTTCTTTTTGTTTTTTCAAACTTGTTTAGCCTTTATCCCATAGCCTGGGCTGCCTGTTGTCGTTGACTCTGTTATAACTTTTGTGCACAGATTTTCTGGGTACAGTCGGAGGGCAGAAACGAGTCTGGTTTAGTGACTTCATATCTCTGTCTGATGTGATTCTGTTGGTGTCACTGTGCTGCAATCTCCAGTGGAGCAGTTTGCAGCCAAGTGTAAAGCAGCTGGGATAAGGATCAGGATTTGACATACTATTACTGTTAATCAACAGACCACTCTGGCTGTTTTATGATACTAAAATCACAGCAAAATTGACCTTTTAAATATAAAACAAACTTTATGTATTTCATTCTATTAGTTTGCCAATTAATCTTGTAAAAATAATCAAAGTATTTTTTTACATTAAAATTGCATTTTGTGAATGTAAATTCCCATTTTTATGTAAATTTGTACTCCAAAAATTAAAAAACAAAATCAACCTCAAGCAGTTAAAATCCCACTAACAGAAGAATTACATGAACATGCGAACAACCTAAAAACATTATGGTTCTGGCCACAGCTGTGGCTGGCCTAGAGGGGGGAAACAAATTAAAAACACATGCAGTCTGCAATTGACCTTTTTTTTCACGCTGTCAGATACCAAGACTAATCTGTAAAACAAGCACAATGTTGTTCATTTATTTCCAGGACTTCTACAAAATCATCACCTGATGAGCATGATTACTTTGTGCTTGAGACATTCAGGCTGAGCCTCAGTCCGTTAGCACTATTCTTACCTTTTAAATGGTTCATGTGTTAAAAAAATACTCAGTCTGTTTTTTTTTTTTTTTGTTACAAAGAAAGCCAAAGCTCAGATTTTCAACCAACAAGAGAGAACTCAGCAGTAAGCTAAACAAAACTAATACTTWAACAAATGTGTGATTCATAATGGTTTTCCACTGTGATTGTGCTTCCWAAATACAAATATCTAAAGCTGTAAAATCTACATTTAGGTGAGTGTTGATCTGTTTTTATTTACTATCCATTTAAAATGCATAGGTGGCCTTAAAGGAATGATGTTATATTAGAAAAATGGATGAGCTTGAGTACTATCTAGATTGAGATTTACTTCTGGATGCCATTTCTACTTACTTGAGATAAACTATTATGATTTAGCCCAGTAATTTATGCTTTTTTACAATTAACATCATTACAGGATGGAAGCATAATTAAAAGCTGCAGGGACCACAAAGTTGTGAGGATACAACAGCTGTGAATAAACATCCTCATTAAGAAGCTAGCGCACAGCTAACTGTTAAATGCTATTAAATGAGAAGATGCTGTACGATGCAGCATATGTTACATAACAGACAACATGAATTAAACTGAAAAATATATATTTTCTGGGGGAAATGAATTGTAAATACTGACTGTTGAATGCCTTTGATGAAATTTGTTGAAAAAAGTAAGACTAAACAGATAAAAAAAAAAACAAGACAAAACTAGCAAAACAAAAGCTGAAGGCTTATATTTGAAGTCAAACAATAGACAAAGCCTTGAATTAAGAAAACTGTTTCCACAAGCTAAATTGAGCAAAACTGAGCCATAAACTAAAATTAGAAAAACAGTATCTAAAAGTAGCATAACAAAATAAAAAGCAAAAGTAACAGTCTAAAATATGCACAAATACACAGGGAAACAATGATGTTATGCTGCCTCAGCATTAAGGCAAATAATGCATAAAGTTTTATTAATTTAATTTATTTTTTTATGTGGATCAGATCCTCCCCCAAAACTTAGTTAATTGATTGTGATTTGTTCATGAGAGCTGAGTGTGACTCCACTGAGGGACTACCCAGTAAGTAACAATTGTTACTCATTTTGTGAGGCATAAAATCTAATTTAGAGCTTGAGAAGTTTAATCCCCTTTGCTCCCTGACTGTCTTAACATAAGAAATAAGCCCATTTGTTGAAGGTTTTACGAAACAAAGCCACAATAACTAGAAATTTAATGTTTATGTGCTTATAAAAAAATGCAAATCCTGGCTATAAGCTCGTACAGCAAATGTTTGAAATTAAAAACGAAATAAAGCTACTCACCGGCACTGGAGGTGGGACTTGAACAGTGATGTCATCAGTGTCTACAGGTGAATCCAACCAGAGTCTTTCATCTGATGACTGACTGTCAGAGTAGCCTTTTCTTTTACCAGCTTGTGTGACATGACTTTTTGATCTTCTTGGTATACTTTCCAAGTTTTGGTTGTCCCCATTCTGTAGAAATAAAACACTTTGTTAAAAAAAAGACTTGGACATGTATGCAGAGAAAAAGTTACATTTATTTTTACAGGCAGATTTACTTCACCTTATCTGAAGAGTACTTCCATAGCTCTACACTGTCCATGCTGTTTCTCTTGGTAATTTTGGGTCTTGCTCCTTCAGAAAAAAGTAAATAAACATTAGATCGCACAGAAGGCAAATGTCAGATTTCACAAGTTGTGAAAGCAACACACCCTGAACGTGTTTAATGAACCATTTTAAGGTTGGAAGATGCTTTTTATTTTTGTTTTTAACAAGCTTGAAATTTCAGCAGTGGTCTCATGATGGTCATAAAAAAAAGATAAAAGCATCAACAAGCCAGCTTTGATCCAAAGAAAAGAAATGTTGAACATGGGAGTGAGGAGGGTTCATGAATGGAAACATTATTCAAAAAATAGGAAAAACTGCTCAGACATTACAGTTTCTCCATGATGCCTTATACTGTATATATAAGGCTTTGATATCCAAATATGTAAAATGTTGGATCATTTGGTTCATATTTAGCATCAGTTCAGACATAACACAGACACCGTCTCGCCTGAAGTTAGTTTTACATTTTATATGGTCACTTTGTGTACACATGTAATATTCTGGTTAGCTTGGTCAAAGCCACACATGCTGTTTGTCAAACACAGACATTAAAAATGTTATATATGGTCTTTAGCTGTGATCAACAAAGTCATATTCATCACAAAATCAGCCAAGTTTTAACTTGAGTTTAAACCAGAGTCTTATTTATATAGGTCAACATGAAATCTTTCATGATGACTGTTGTTTTCTTCCATTTCTATCAATTAAATAGATACAGTTTCACTTTGTTCTAAACAGCAGACAGGCCATGTCCCTTACACTTTCAGACATAAACATAAACACATGCAAACAGACAGCTTTTTCTGCCTTTGCCTATCCTTTGTCCCAAATTGTACAAGATACATAAAGAAACACAAGTTGTGTCAGTCAAATCAATTATTTTAAAGGAACGTTTCTGTTCAATCAGTAATCATTTGTTTCTATGCATTTTTAATGTTTATCAATGCAGATATTGTCATATATCAGCATTATATTATCAAGTTCTTCAGGATGCAGAATAATCAACTTTTTAAGAATTAATAAAAGGAAAAAGTTATATCTATTTTACTGTATTTAAAACTTAAAATGATAACTAGACTACCTATTCCGTCTAAATATAAATAACCCAAAATGATTTTATTTTTATTTTTTTTTTCAAAATAATGCTATAGGTTATTTTCTTTTTTTTTTTTTTTTTTTTTGCATTTATGTCTTCTGTGTAAACATTTGCTTCTATTAATTAAAAATTAAAAATACAAGTTTTGCACAAGAAATGAATAGGGGAAAAAAGTTAAGTTAAAGTTATAATTTTAGGGAATATTTAAGGTTTTTGCAGTGAACTGCATTGGCCTCTTTCCCATAATTTAGGGTTTCTCTTAAAACAGTGAGTTTAAATTTTGGAAAAGAGAACCTGCAATCATTATTTATCTTTATTTAACCAGACAAATCCCAGTGAAACCACAGATCTCTTTTGCAAGGACCAGATAGCAATCTAATGTGTATGTTTTTGTTCTGTGAGAGGAAACCGGAGTACCAAGAGAAAACAAATGCAAGCATGAGGAGAACATGCAAACTCCACACAGAAAGACCCCAGGACCTTCTCGCTGTGAGGAAACGGTGCCAACCATCGTTGCTGCCAATCATCATCACATGTAAAAGATAGGAAGAGACTTTACCTTGCATCTCAAACTCTGAACTGGAAGGAGACAGATCGCTTTCATTGACTCCAAGAGCCTCCATCAGCTGCTCCACATTCATTCTGGCTGTCAGCTCCCCATTTCTGTCTCCAATCTAGGTTTAAAAGACAGAAGTAGGAACAAAAAGACACACAATTAGGGTCATATGTCAGAGGACTCACTCCTATCAAAATAAAAACCTTTTTAACCATTATTTAATTTATTCGCCTCTTAAAATGCCTTACTTCTCTGGAGATGTCGAGGTGCTTTCGGGCATAGTGAAGAGCTTGTTTGTGGTTCCCTAATGACACATAAGCATTTCCCAGACTCCAGCAGGCACGACCCTCACCAACCCTATTAAGAAATGCACATGCAAAAGTAAAAAAAAAAAAAAAAAACTCAACTGAAAAAGGAATTTTGTACTTATGTCTATGTGATTTTTTTTTCTGTTTTATAAAAGAAACCACAAGCATTTCTGTTTTCTGTAGAACCAATCCAGAAAAACAAAAAGACAGACCATATATTGTATGTAGAACACTGAAGGAACAAATTCTGACAACTTGCAACTATTTTCTTTTTTAACGAGTTTTCTCTTTTGTCTTCCAGTCTGAGTTTCTCATTATTAGAACTATGAATTTCCCCCAACAACATGCCTGTGGAGTTTAAAAACTGCTGCTGGGCTCAGTACTGTATTCATGCTCACTCTACCTGTCATTGAGCTGTTGGGCTATACACAAGTGCTTCAGATGGTAGTCTATGGCCCTCTCGTACTGCTGCAGCAAAGTGTAAGTGTTTCCCAGACTGTAACAGGCCTGAGCCTCCATCACCTGGTCCCTCAGCTGCCTGGACAGCTGTAGAGTTTTCCTATGAGACAGAAACAAGGAAACTGTTGATACACCTGATTGGTGTTTTTTCAATTGTAATGGGGTTGAGACATGAACCAAAACAAAAAACAGTTTAACTTCAAGATCCCTCCACTAGATGTCAGACTGCACTCTCTCCTCACCTGTAGTATTCTGTGGCTGCGTTGAACTGTCCCAGGAATATCAAGGCATTGCCGAGGTTACTGTAGGCTCGCCTTTCAGCTGCTTTGTCTCCAAACTCTTTAGCAATGGATAATCGCTGTAAATGAAAGAACATTTAGCATTTGCATTATGTGACTTTAACGATAGAAATCTTCATATTAACATTTATATTATATATATATTTTTTTTACATTTTATAGATTTGCTTTAATATGCAGCATACAAACAAAGGCAGTTATTCAAGATTCAAGCTCTGCTGGAAAACCATATTTTCTGACCAAAGATGCATCTGCAGCACTGATACATCAAATCACCCCCTCTGATTCTCTCTGTAAGCAGTGTGTTCCCCTCTGAGGCACACTGATAGATTTGTAATGAGAAAGAGAGGAGAGGCTGGTTTCTCGCACAAGGAAAGAAGTGGTTTACAATAGAGTGTGACAGGAAAACACAGGAAGAGATCGCCTGAAGCTATACTTTTCAATGAATCACTAAGAAACCAATTTCCTCCTCCTTTTTTTGGTAATGGAACAATCTCTGTAAGCTGAGAGCTAGAACAGCATGTGATGTATTGTGGGGTATTGTGTAAGATGCATTTAGATAAGTGTTTCTCAGACTAAGTATGCTTACAGATAGAAGGTAACAACACTGCCAAACTAATTAGGAGATATTTATTTTAAATCAGACTAAACAAAAGCTGGATTTAGTCTTCTCTCCCTCTTAAGCAAAAACTTTTTGCATGTACATTCTTAGCCRAATAGTGAAGTAGGCAAATGTGAAAATCTACTCCCAGACATAAAGATACTGCTTGTCTTTTATTTTACACAAAGAAATTAGCAAAACTGCAGGAACAAACAAAAAAATGCAAGCTCAGGCTGTTCCCACATTCTTTAAAAAAATATTCCAACAATAAATCACTGCATGTTGCAGAAGCACAAAGACAGAAGAAAGTGAAATGATGTCATGTTGCACTCTGGCTTCAGGGAAGGTGATTTCTGCCTGGAGCATTGTGAACACAAAGCAGATCAAAACAGCCTTGAAATACATTTAAGAATAAAATGCATGACTACAAATCAGATGCATAAAACATGCGGATCTGCTTAGGCTTGTATATTCTCACGTGGAATTGCTAAAATTACCAAATTTGATTCATTTTGAATATATTTTATTTGTAATATTCTTCAGGGAAAAGACAAGGAGTCCAGTTCAGAATTAATTAACTGCTCAGTTAATGATCTCTCAAACTGCTGTTCAAACACATAAATCAGTCTCCACCACAATGATGCAAAGATGACACAGGTAAAACTATAACATGGAAATTTTTTTCTTTTACCTGACGATGAAACTTGATTGCTTCGACGAAGTTACCCAGCAGGTAGTGGGTATTGCCAAGGTTCCCATAGGCCCTCCCCTGAGCAGCTCGATCACCAAGCTCTTTGACCAAACACAAATTCATTCTGCACAAGTTGAGAACAAACATTTATTATCAGCACATTTATGCAACTCGTGTAGCTGGTTTTCAGTTTTAGGTCTTTATATTACAAAGACTTTTTTTATTTGTCATGTCCTGGATGACTAAGGGTATGTTCACGCTGCAGGCACTGGAAGTACTCCGGGTTCTTCTATGAAGTTAAAAGGGGAAAATGACATTGACAGAAGTCACACTACATGCAAGCTGTGTACAACCACCTTTAGGCGGAAGCAAAAATAGCTGGCAGAAGCTACTAGCTATCATTGCTAACAGAGGAATATTAAACAAGCAGCAGCTAAGCTTCCACCTAATTGAAACTGCAAAGCAAATTACAAAGTGTCTCACAACTTTTATTGTAAAAAAATTTGTTTCCCATTCCATTGTTAAAAACCAGTGTGTGTGTGCTGTTTCACACTTTGGAATTACAAGGATCATCACAGTAATGCAGGGGTTCCAAAACTTTTCAACTTTGGTCGCCCAAAAATAACAGTGGCAGAGGCTTAAGACACTAAATGAGACCAGATTAAATATACATGTTGCTGCTAACTTTATTAAACAAAGGGATAATGATGATACAAACTACATTAACAGCTGTGATACTATTTTTATGAGCTTATGATCACTGTTTTTATATACTTGTGGTAAAAAAAAAACCTTCTATTATCATTTTTTTACAAATTTTCTTTATTTTTAAAGATTAGGAACCCTCAATGTTGCACCACACGCAGTAAGAACCCAACTCCAATAGTTCCCAACCTATTTTCCTCGAAGTCCCGCTTTCTTATTTCCAGGCCAAGCTGTAACCACTTTATGAAAATAATAAATGAATACAGTGAAATCTTACAAATTTTATTTGGAAAACAAAATAATAAATAAAGAATTGTGCTGTACAGTTTTAATTATTCAAATGGACTTGTTTGGTGATTTTTACATTTAAAAAATAAATGGATATTTTCACAACCTCTGAGCAGACAAGGGCATTCATTGCCACAGAATATTGTCACTACACAGCATTTTGACTCATTTTTTGTTTACRCAGTCTTGTTTGAATGAAAACTGTTTCATACTGCAGAGCAGGAGAAAATGTTTTCTTTCTTTTAGGTCTAAGAAATTCTCTGCTCAGGATTTTGCTTGAAGTGTGATTATCGAAATTCATTGATTGTTTTATAAACATATTGCAGCCTTTTAAAAAGAGTTGTAAAGTAACTAAGTACAAATACTTTGTTACTGTACTTAAGTAAAATTTTTGGGCATTTTACTTTACTTGGGTAATTATTTTTCAGCCTAATTTTTACTTTCTACTTCTTACATTTTCACACAATTATCTATACTTTCTACTCCTTACATTTTTTAAAAAGGAAAAAAGTAGAAAGTCGTTATTTTATTTGATTTTTACTTGTTTTCATTCCAGCTTGTTAKTGTAAAAAATAAATACTATCCATGTAAATTGTGCCTCCTAGATCGAGTGAATTTAATTGTGGTTGAATGAGAAGTATAAATATATAAAATTCTGATAAAATCATGTCACACTCCAGCAGGACATATTCATTAAAATAAAAGGACTGTACTTAAGAAGTATTTGTATTTCAAGAATTTATTGTATTTGGTCACAGCCCTCGGATAGGTTTTCATTTTGGAGAAAATACTTGGGCACCCTTGATATATGTAAATAAACTGAAACAGCTAAAATAGTGCATCCTAAATTTAACAAATTAATTATTTTAATGTGATATAGTCATTTCAGCATTTTCTTTTTTGGGTGGGGGAGGTCACCTCCTAATAAAAGGTCAGTACATAAAATCTAACTGCTCATTTTAAATCAATACTTTTACTTTTAATACGTAAGTACAAAAAATATCAGATACTTTAAGACTTTTAATCAAGTAATACTCCTAAAGGTGACTAACTTTTACCAAATTAATCTTTTGGTAAGATACGTGTACTTTTACTCAAGTATCACTTTGTGGTACTTTATACAACACTGCGTCTAAATCATAATCAACTYAAAAATGTGAGGAGCCTGAATATCCCAACCCATAGTATTTACCAAATCTTTTGTGTACGATTCACTGTCGACTGTGACTGACACGTTATTGTTGATATTTTTCCCAGCATTCATTTGTGCAGATATAGAGATCACTGTGCCACATGTACTTACTCATAAAAGTCAGTTGCTTTCTGCAGTGTGTCTCTAACATCAGCTGGCAGATCTCCTGGTTCCTGGGGGCAACCCCATAGCTGCTGCTTGCCCTTTGCATGAAATACATTCCCAATGTTATACAGCGCTCTGGCCTCTCCAACCTATAACATTACAATAAAAGAAGACTGGTTAAATGGCAAAGTCAGTGTTGTTTCAGTCATTTATTTTTGATCCAKAGTTTTTTGTGTTTGTATGTGTGTTATTCTTTGACTCTTTATTGGTTAGTTTGAAATGCACCACGTTACCTTGTCACCCTGCTCTTGCGCAATGTCCAGATGTCTTTGGCAGCAGACGACAGCCTCATCAAAGCGCCCCAATACTTTTAAAGTGTTACCGAGGTTACCACTGGCTTTTCCTTCTCCAATTCTGTCTCCTATAGTTCTGAGAAGGGGAAATTGCATGGCTGTATTTAGAGGTGAGAATACGGATGGCTTCCCTCAGTTCATTTGTTGGTTAAACAATACCTATTAAGATGCTGTAGCAGGGTTTAATTGGGACATGCTGCAGGATTTATTGCACAATGTGTTTTGCTTACTTCCAAGGATCAGGTCCCAGTGGTCCTGGTGAGAATGTAATGTAACAAGGTAAATCTCCCAGGGGTGTTTAATCACTTCCCTGCTGAACTACCAGCTGCACTCACTGCAGGAGAGCAGATTACTCACAAGCTAAATAACCAGCTTGTAGTTACTGACTTTTACTATACAAAAGTCCACTAATGTTTTCCTTCCTGGTGGTCTCTTGGCATTTAGTTTGGAAGTAAAAACATGATGGAAAAAGTAGAAGGAAATTACCTTGTAATGCAATTGGATTAAACAAAAAAAAAAAAAAAAAACTCAAGTGAATCAACCGTGCCAGGGTCCAAAACTGTGTGTTTACAGCCAAGACATGATTGTTTGGAACAATTACCTTCCTTCAATGGAATCAGCAGGTGGGTTTTAGTCTGAAAATGCTTATATGGGGTGAAATGTGGGGAATCGTTCCTAGTTAAAATACGTTTGAAATGTTTTTTTTTAATGGTTTCCATCTGAAAGAACCATACTCAAAGCATTAGTGAAACCACGAATGACTTTCTGCCACTTAAGTTGTTGTTTATATTTGCTGGAAATGTTAATGGAGCATAAACTTTTTTTTAATAAAATGTTTTTCCATTGGCACATTCTCCATAAAAAATAAACTTTGACAAACAGCATTTGTCCAATCTATACATCTTATTTATACATATGGAAAGTGTGTTTTTTATTATTTTCTTGAAAATGATACTGCAATCCATTATAACTAGTAGTAGGCAGCACCAATCTAAAAATTAGTTCCACTAGCCCTAAAACACTGACTCAAATATTTAGGTCCCTTAATTCTAAAGCACTAACACACTGAAAGTTTTAGCAAAAGCTAATTCTAAAAGCACTGAAAYAACCCAGTGAACCCATAAACATTTTTCAACAGACAACATGAGTCACGTATTGCCATGTTTCTCTCTTAATTCTTATCATTGTCATTCCACTGCTGYATTTGGGTTCGCATATTGTCAATATATTGTCACCTGGTGGATAAGTGACACACATATTAACAAAATGTGCATCAGCTTTAACATTAACGTTGATCAATAACATTTATAGACCTCAGTTAGTGCTTCTAAATTTAGCAAGTGCTAATCCATGAATAAATTTTTAAATTAGCAAATGCCCTAAAGCACTAATCAGGAAATTAGTTCCCCTATTAGTGCTTCAGTGCTTTAGGGGAACTGTGCCCACCACTGATTATAATGCTTTAAAACAAGTAAAAACTGTACTTTTAATAGACTGAGGACTCACCTGGCCAAAGTGAGGTCATGTTTGTGGTATTCCAGGGCTTTGCCATACTCCTTGAGGTAAAAGTAGGCATTGCCAAGCTGGCTGTAGATGGCACTGAGGGTCTTCAGGTCTTCTGTACCCACCTGGACGGCTGCCTCAAAAAACGCTGTTCCCCCTTTAAAGTCTCCAGCCTTGCAGAGCCGCTCTCCTTCCAAGGCCAACTCTAAACAGGAGGCCTCCATCCTGAACGATGCAAAGAAGAAAAAAAAAACGTGAGTACAATAGTTCTTTTCCATTTGATAATGTTGTGTAACATGAATACAATTACAGTGGTGGTGCAACATCATCCTACGGTGAAGAGCTGGCAGTATCACCATGACAACAACAAGGTCTGTAGCGGTTTCTGTGGACTGTTACCTTAGCAACTGAGTCTAAACATTAAGATTACTTTTCTCTCTTAATTTCAATTTTATTTTCACTATGAAAGTGAAAATAAAATTGGTTTAAAAATTTGGTATATTAGAGACGGTCAAAGTATTATTTGTAGTAAATAAGGATTGATTGATTGATTGATTGATTGATTGATTGATTGATTGATTGATTGATTGATTGATTGATTGATTGATTGATTGATTGATTGATTGAT